AAGGGCACCTTTTATCCGCCCGTGTCGAGCGCTGACGACGGTGCCGGCAGCAGCATCACCACCATGCGCCAGCCGCACTGCAACACCAGCTCCAGCCTGTGCACCACCATATCCAGCGCCAGTGCCAATGAGCTGAACAGCTACACGGTGGCCATGGCCGAGAGCAACTGCAGCAGTGGCGGCGGTGGCGGCGCCACCGTCGGCAGCCTGCGACTCAGCATGAACGATCTGGGCGCCGTGTCCAATGATTACCTGTCCAGTGTGAATGCCAATGCGTACGGCATGCAGTACGAGGACTTTCTGCGCTACCAGACCAACGAGCTGGACTACGATCAGCTGAAGGAGACGACGGCAGCGACAACGCCGACGACGTCCGACAACGGGGCACAGAAGTGCGCCAAGTATCCGGACACCAATCACAACTATGACGATTACGAGACGGAGGCCTATAACAATGCCATGCTGCTAACGGCGCCAGGGGCACCGCACAGTGGAGCCACCACCGCCAGCTACTACACACAGCTGCCCTATTCGCTGGCCAGCGGCGCCTGCACCGCCTTTCCCCTGCAGCTGGCGGTGCCCTTCCAGCAGACATCGGCCGCTGGCGGCGCAGCTGCCTACGGACAGCCGATGCAGAGCAGCTACCTGCACTACGGCAACTACTATGAGGCCGCCAATGGAGCGGGTGCTCAGCTGCTGCCGCAGCAGGCGCCAGCTGTAACGCCGCCAGACACGGCAATGCAGCAGCAGCAGCATCATCATCACCATCATCCACATGCTCATCATCATCATCCTCATCATCACTTTGCGGCCAATGGCGGCAGCTCATCTCCTGGCATGGTGGGCGATATGCTCTTTGAGCATCAACAGCAGCAGCAACAACAGCAACAACAGCAGCAACAGCAGCAGCAGCAGCAACAGCAGCAACAGCAGCAACAGCAACATCAGCAACAGCAGCAACAACATCCACAACAGCAGCAACAGCTGCATCCGCGCAAGGACGATGAGATTAGCAATATCCTGGCGGGTGTGCGCAAGACCTGCTACAGTAATTAACGGCGGCAGCTCATAGCATTCGCCTGCTCTGAAATTTGTTATATTTGAATGTAGAGTTTAGCGCTTGGTTAACGGTACGCATAAGTATTGCTTCCCCCACCCTAGCCTCCGACCCCATTTCCTTCTTTACAAAATGTACTATATTTAGAGTTTTTCTATAATTAATCTATCATATGAGATATGTTAAACTTAAGTTAGTTTGCATTGAAATAAAATCAAATTCGCTATGAAAACAAAACACGTTTTAATGCTTAAGCCGATATATACATTCATATTCACATGTATTTGTATGTATGTGTGTGTCTCTTGTACCAGCAATGTGTACCTTTTGAACCTATCGAAATAATTGTGGTACGAATGTGTATCTAAACTCTTAACATAAGTTCCACTTACGTTGGTACTGGTTCGCTTATGAACTATTTGGTACACTCTTTGCTTGCTAGGGTTTGTGTCTTTGATAAATTACGATGATTTACATTGAATGTAAATAAAAAGCGAGTTTAACGAATAAATAAATTAAATGTCAATTGAATCACCAATTAAATTTATTTTAAAAATAAAACGATCAATAATAATGCTAAAAGCATTTAATCATAATTAATATATTGTTAAGTATATATTTTTTAAATTCAAACGACAAACAAAAAAAGGTACATTTGCCATTTCATTTGCTACGCAGGGAATGTTAACCGAGTGGGAGCCACCTGACTCTTGTGACACCAATATACACAGCATCTGCCAGTGAGGCTGGCGACTGCGCAGTGCGTCCTGTGAGGCATTTGCTGGGGGGCCAAAGAGGCAAAGAATTTTTCTTTTCTTGCTGTGCGCTGCTGAAGGGCTTAAGGATTGCCGTTTTAACGTTACATAAAATTTCCATAATAGTTTCTAATTTGTTTTTTTCACATAATTCTACATTATTCGGGTCGAGCTATCAAGGCGATGCACTGCACCAGTTCGAGTTCGAGTTCGAGTTAAGCTAAGTGAGCCAAAGATGTGTAAAACTCAGATAAGAGCATACGCATAGGGCGCCATTTGAGCGCTACATAAGAAAATTGTTAGTGTCAAAGAGAAAAATTCCATCAACAAAATTTGCTAATTGAAAATTCTGCTTCGCTTTTATTTACACACACACACATACACATATGTATTAATGTATATAGAAATATTTGTTTAAATGTGTCTTAAGTTAAGTGCATAATCAGTAGCCCAACGGCAGCAATTCGACAACATTTGAGAATTCAGCAAAATCGATAAGCTTCAGCATCAGCATCAGCATCCGCACTATTTGATAGCCACAGCAGGGGGGCCGCCGTCACCCAGCCAGCAGGCAACTAACCAACCACCCACCACCCACAGCACCACCACCAACAACATTCGCATAAGCCACCCCACCTGATATAGTAGTACTATTGGCCGCAATCATGTCATTCATAACGAAATTGAAGGCGACTCCATTGCCGCCACTGAAGAATATACTCAATGTGGCCATCCAAACGGCCAGACAGCAAATTCCAGAGCGCAAGGATTACCAGCAGCCACCCGGCTCGAGCGGCAGCCATCCACATCTGCAACAGCAGCAGCAGCAGCAGGGTCAAGGTCACGGCATGTTTGCGCCAGGTGATGCCAATGGCGATGGCAGCGATCAGCCCACAGAGATGAGCTCGAATCCCTTTCGCAATGCCGGCGGCTGGTCGAACGAGGATGGCGAAGGGGACTACAAAAACGAATACCAGAGCACGTCCTTTGTGGGCAACGATTACGATGGCAGGTATCAGCAGACAGATGGATTCAGGTGCGTAGCAGAGATTTATGTCGTAATGATGCAGTTCCTCAGGCTCAAATCCCTTTTGCAGGCAGGGCAGCATCGCCTCGGAGGGCAGCTCGTTTGTGTGCGAGGGTGAGGGTGGCGGCGGCTCCAAGATCGACGAGTTCCAAGCGGCCTGGAATGTGACAAACGCCATCCAGGGCATGTTCATCGTATCGCTGCCATTCGCAGTGCTCCACGGCGGCTACTGGGCCATCATCGCTATGGTGGGCATTGCGCACATCTGTTGCTACACGGGCAAGGTGCTCGTGCAGTGCCTCTATGAGCCGGACCCCAGCACGGGTCAGCTGGTGCGCGTACGGGATAGCTATGTGGCCATAGCCAAGGTATGCTTCGGTCCCAAGCTGGGCGCACGAGCCGTCAGCATTGCCCAGCTAATCGAGCTGCTGATGACCTGCATTCTGTATGTGGTCGTCTGTGGAGATCTGCTGGCTGGCACATATCCGCAGGGCTCGTTCGATTCGCGCTCCTGGATGCTCTTCGTGGGCATTTTCCTGCTGCCCATGGGCTTCCTCAAGTCCCTCAAAATGGTGTCGACGCTCTCCTTCTGGTGCACCATGTCACATATTGTGATAAACGCCGTTATTCTGGGCTATTGCCTGCTGCAGATCGGCGATTGGGGCTGGTCCAAGGTGCGCTGGAGCATTGACATGGAGAACTTTCCCATTTCGCTGGGCGTCATTGTCTTCTCGTACACCTCGCAGATATTCTTGCCCACGCTCGAGGGCAACATGATAGATCGCTCCAAGTTCAACTGGATGCTGGACTGGTCCCACATAGCCGCTGCGATATTCAAGGCGGGCTTCGGTTACATCTGCTTTCTCACCTTCCAGAATGACACGCAGCAGGTGATAACCAATAATCTGCACTCGCAGGGCTTCAAGGGCATGGTCAACTTCTTTCTGGTCATCAAGGCCATCCTCAGCTATCCATTGCCATACTATGCTGCCTGCGAGCTGCTTGAGCGCAACTTCTTCCGTGGCCCGCCAAAGACCAAATTTCCGACCATCTGGAATCTGGATGGCGAGCTGAAAGTGTGGGGCCTGGGCTTCCGCGTGGGCGTCATTGTCTCCACCATACTTATGGCCATATTTATACCACACTTTTCGATACTGATGGGCTTCATTGGCAGCTTCACGGGCACCATGTTGAGTTTTATTTGGCCCTGTTACTTCCACATCAAGATCAAGGGCCATTTGCTGGATCAGAAGGAGATAGCGAAGGACTATGTCATCATTGCGCTGGGCGTGCTCTTCGGTGTTATAGGCATCTATGATTCGGGCAATGCCCTAATCAATGCATTCGAAATTGGTCTTCCATTTTAAAACAATTGTTACGATACAAAACGAAAACGAAATCTAAAACAAATTTATAGTTTAGTTAACGAAAGCTCTAATCAAACTACCAATAACAAAGTATATATATGTATGTATATCTATATATACACAGTTATACATTTGTTGGATTCGTCTGGGCTGCATTCATGGCATGTCTTCCAAAAACAAACTAAATTTGTCAAATGCAGTCCATGACGAATAACAAGAAACCTAGTCTATAAGAAATGAAACGCAAGTCTTCCAAAACAAATGCGAACAAAATGTCTTCCAAACATGATATATATATACAAACAAAAATATATATATATATATATATTTAAAAAGAAAATCCTAAGCTAATTTAAGTAATAACGAGTATTATATTATTGTATGAACGCGTATATAGAGGAAATTGAAATAATATAACAAACTTGCAAAACGAACACAATAAACCATTATACAAAATTGAAATGTATGTAAATCTATTGTTCCAAAATAGATAGAACTCATTGATTATTTATACCAGCATATAGTATATATATATACATATAGTTGAAAAGCGTTTTTTTAAACGATATTAATTATACAGTTACTGTACTTATACACACATACGATAATAGCCTTTAAAAACGACACTAGCACCTTTTAAAAATTCTCAATAAAAACCATCATCTCACGTTGAACAAATATTCCGTTCCCAAGCGATTTTTAATGTAAACAAAAATTTCTTTAGAATATTTTTCAAAAATGATATGCTTTATTTGTTGTTGTTAATCTTACAATTCAGTATGTTTTTTGTTTTCTTCAGGTAAGTAGATATATTGTATAAAAAATATTGTCATGGAATCTTAGGCACTATGTGATATGATATGAAGACAAGACTTGACAAGACAAGAGACATACGAGCACGATTTTAAGTGTGTTAATTATCAGTTAGTTGGAGGTTTTGTAAAATTTATGATCGTGCGTACTTCTGGTCGGCTGGAATGCACCTTGTTTAATCTTATGAACAGCACAGGTTGTTGCTGGGGCAGTTATATATTCGCTCTTATAGAGACTCGAGCCAGTGAACTTGTCGCTGCCCAGACTAATCGATGACTGATTGCTGCGTCGTGTGGTCACAACACGTTCGCTCTGGCCATGGACATTGTAGGCCGAAGAGGAGGAGGAGGAGGCGAAATCGATGCCACTGGACAAATGTTGGTTAGCACCGTTGCGATGACGCGTTACATGCGTCTGCGACTGCGATTGGGATGGAAAATCCACTCCGCTCGATGCATTTGTTCGTGTGAGTGTCGATCTCTCCAGGTTCGATCGATTTGTATCGCCGCCAGATATAATACGTGACATGGACGAGGAAGACGTGGATGTTTTCACATGATGCTCCTTGTTTTCCTTATGCACGCTGCAACTGCGACGATCCGTCGAGTAGCTAGTACTCAAGTCCGATTCCCTGTTCTGGCGGTGGATGCTACTGTAGCTCTGGCGATCAGGCGAATGGGCGCTGCAGCTCGGCGATTGCTCATGCAGATTCAGAATACTCTTGCGCTGCATTTTGCCATTGGAGGTTAGACTGCTGCTCAGTGGATTTGACTCGGTTGACACGTTCTTTCGATGGAAGATTGAGTTGGAAACATCCGCTTCCGAGGAGAACTCACTCTTCCTGTGATGGAAGTGCTTCGACGAGCTGCCATTCACATTGCTAGTCACCGAACTGTTGTTGTCAACCACACGAGACGTTGATCCTCCGTTGGTATTATTTGATGTTGGACTTCCCGAGATTGTGCGAGAAGTGGAGCCCACTGTTTCGTTGACCTTCGTTGTGACTAGTTTACCGCCTATTATACGAGTTGTTGTGCCTCCAGTCTCGGTCACGTTATGAGTGCTTCGCGTTTCAGCAACGTTCGTTGTCACCAATTTACCAGAGACAATGCGAGTGGTTGAACCTCGAGTCTCGTTTACATTCTTACTAGTCGTGCTGCTGGAGACGATATGGGAGCTTCCAGTATCTCCCACGTTCCTGGACACTTGTTTACCGGAGACTATACGAGTTGTCGAGCCTTCTGTGTCAGCCACATTGTTTATAGTTGTACGGCCAGTAGCTGCCGTAGATGTGGTGTCTCCAGTTACAACTTTGCCGGAAACTATACGGGTTGTAGAGCCTCCCGTTTCTGTCACATTGTTGGTCACTGTCCTGCCTGTGACTATACGAGATGTTGAGCCTCCACTTTCGGTGACATTGTTGGTAACTGTCCTACCTGAGACTGTATTGGACGTTATGCCGCCAGTTTGTGTCACATCTCGGTCATCCTGGTTAGTTCGCCTTGTCGTTGTTGAAGTTTGAAGAGCTCTTGTATCATCCGTTGTTCCACGTATTTGCTCTGTTTTTACAGCTGTTTTTTCTAGTACATTGAGATTTCGTTGCATCGATGTTGTTTCCTTGTGTACGTTTTGTGTGTTCTCAATATTTGTTGTGGTCGTGTTTTTCGACACATTCTCAATAACATTTATCTTAGCTGGTCGCTTCACATACTCAGTTTCCGGTTCCTTTTTCGCACGGCCCCCGATCACTGTTGTGACCTTCTTCGTAGAAACAATAATTAGACCATCGACTGGCTTTTGGCTGTTGACATCCACTTGCTTCACTGCATCCTTGCCGGAAACAAAGTTCATCTGGTTTGTTGTCTTCAGAATGGAAGTATCATTACCTAAGGTGATGGTCGAGCTGTTGTGCTTGTATTTTTGTGTACGCTGAACTCGATCAATATTGGTTTTATTAGTTGTGGTTTTGAAATCATCTTTCCTAGTCACAGTCATAGGTCCTTCTAGCTTCAGATTATCCACCGGTCGCTTGGCAGGTTCCCTTTTAACACTCTCTAGCACCGTTGTACTGTCAGTTTCAGTTCTATCTGTTCGTTTATAAAATTCACCTTCTGTTTTCAAGTTATCCTTGGGTTTCTTTTGGACTGGTCGTTCTGCTGGCTTGAATGTTGACTTTTCCGGAGTATAGAATTCTCCTTCCGGCTTTAAGTTGTCCGTTGGCTTCACTTGTTCCGGTCTTCTTACGTGATGATACTCCTCTTTTTTAGTAAATGTCATTGAACCCTCGGTTTTTAGGTTGTCTTTTCTTATAATTGTCTTTACTTTTTCAGCTGGTTTAAATGTGTCCTTTTCAGGAATATACATTTGACCTTCAGGCTTTAAGTTATCAACATATTTCTTAGGCTCAGGTCGCTCAGCAGGCTGATATTTAATTTTTTCCGGTGTATACATAACACCATCAAGAGGCTTCAGATTATCCTGTGGTTTCTTCTGTTTAGGTCTCTCTACGGGCACAAACTTCGGTTTTTCCGGAGTATAGAAATCACCTTCAGGCTTTAAGTTATCCTCTCGACGAACTTGAGATGGACGCTCACCAGGACTGTACTTCGGCTTTTCAGGACTATAAAATTTGCCTTCAGGCTTCAGATTATCCGTTGGCTTCACCTGCTCAGGACGAACAACATATTGATATTCCTCTCTTTCCACAAACGTCATTTCGC